AATGCAATCATGGAATACTTGAGTGGGCGTGAGGGGCATTCTATCCAGGCAGAGAGAGAGCATGAAAGACAGTCTGGAGGCAGAAACACTCGGGTTACTTTGGAGAACTGAATAGTAGCTTCCCATATATTATCCCCTAATACCATAAGGTTAGTGTTATTGTCCTCACTGTACAGATGAGAAAATTGAAACTCAGAAATGTTTAGTGACTTGCCCAAGTCCACTCAGCTAGTAAATGACATATCTAGGATTCATTTTCCCACCCAGATCCATTCCACTCCAGGGACTATGCTCCTTGCACTACCAAGTAGCCTGTCAAGTGTATAGCAGTTAGGCCATATGACCCCAGCTGAAGAATAATCTGGTTCTTAGGGTTTTTCTTTTGGGATTTTTTTTTTTCTTTGAGATGGGGTCTCACACTGTCAGCCAGGTGGGAGTGCACTGACACAATCCTAGTTCACTGCAGCCCCAAACTCCCGGGCTCAAGCCGTCTTCCCACTTCAGCCTCCTGAGTAGCTGTAGCTGGGACTACAGGTGCATGCCACCGCTCGCAATTAATTTTTTTATTATTATTTATTTATTTAGAGACAAGGTCTCACTTTGTTGGCCTCCCAAAGTGCTGGAATTATAGGCGTGAGCCACTGTGCGCCGCCCAAGAATGATGTTGATGAGAGGTGGGTGATGTTTGGTAGGGTAGATTGGGGCCTAGTTAGTTGTACAGGTCCTTGAATGCTAAGCAAGAAGATTTAGCCATGAGAAGCTGTAGTATATCTTGAGCCATAGAATGTTCCTGAGCAGAAGTAATAAAAAATACTGCTTTGTGAAAATTAATCTGATGGGGAGGAGGTTATAGAGATGGATTATGGGTGCGTGGGAGTGAAGAATTAGATTTAGGAAAGAGATCATTTAGAAGCCAGAGTAGTCATCCAACTATGAGATGATAAGAACTTGAATAAGGGTGGAAGTAATAGGAATGGAAAGAAAGGAGTAGATTTGTAAGACAAAGAAAAAAAATAGAAATTGGTGGCATTATTAGATGGGAAAAGGAGGAAAGTCACCAGTCTCATTGCTCTGTTTTAGGATCCATGAGGTTCATCTATCTGTAGGGCCTCTGGCCAGAGAAAAGGCCGAAGAGAGAAAACCCTGAGGAACATCTTTGACCTGCATAGAAACTTATCTAAAGATTTTCAGAGTCTGAGCCTCACCCTCAGTCCATCCCAGTTTTATCCTGAGCTGTCCACATCTGTTACTCTCCAAGGCCTACTGGACCCAACACTGGAAGCCATTTAAAGTTTCTATCGAGACTGGCCTTTTAAGGGATTCTCCATGCTACACTTGAGCCTGGAGACTAGAAAAAATGCCAGCCTGTTTTCATTAACTGCTATGGTCTGAATGTTTATGTTGTCCCCAAATTCATATATTAAAATCCTAACTCCCGGCCGGACGCAGTGGCTCACACATATAATCCCAGCACTTTGGGAGGCTGAGGCAGGTGGATCACTTGAGGTCAGGAGTTTGAAACCAGCCTGGCCAACATGGCAAAACCCCATCTCTACTAAAAATGCAAAAATTAGCTGGGCACAGTGGCTGAGCTAATCCCAGCTACTGGGGACACTGAGGCATGAGAGTCGCTTGAATCCTGGGGCTGGAGGTTGCAGTGACCCAGGATCATGCCACTGCATTCCAGCCTGGGCAACAGACAGAAAGACTCCGTCTCAAAATAAATAAATACATAAATAAATAAAATAAAATCCTAACTCCCAAAGTCATGGTATTAGGAGATGGGGCATTTTGGGGGGTGATTTAGTTTTATGAGGGCAGAGCCTTTCTAAATGGGATTTATACCCGTATAAATAGGCCCAAGGGAACTCATTCACCCTTTCAACCATGTGAAGACACAGCAAGAAGGTACCATCTCTAGACCAGAAAGCAGCCCTCATGAAACACTGAATCTGCCCATGCCTTGATCTTAGCCTTGTCAGCCTTCAGAACTCTGAGAAATAAATGTCTGTTGTTTATAAGCCACCCAGTTTATGATATTTTGTTATAGCAGCCCAAACAGACTAAAACAACTTCCCTGGGCTCGCCTCAACTTCTGTTGTGGGGCAGAGCATAAGGCAATTTGACTGGGACCCAGAGGATGGGTAAGCTTGGCTGAAATGATGGAAATGTAATCATCCGAAAAGGTCAGAAAGTTGGCAGTTTGCTCAATTCAGCATGCAAGATAGGGAGACCAAAAGCCCCCTCCTTTGAAGGCAAGGGCTGTAGCTGGGACCAGAAGTGATGTCACATAACCACTGCTGAGGTCATAGAAATTTCCCTCTCCTCCCTCTGTCTCCTCATTTGCAACAGCCAACTGGCTACCACATATCTGCACACACTTAAATACAAAGGCCGGGAAGGGTCAGATCACCGTCCAGGTAATCTTAGGTACATAAAAGAGGTGGGGGAAAGAGAGAATCATTCAGTAGGTAGGATCCATATTGGTATCTCCAGTGCTGGGAAGGGGAGACTCATGCTGTGGTTGTGTAGGTGCAGTGGGAGCTGGGAGGGAGAGAGGAGACACCAACAGGGAAGAGGGGAGCTGTTCCTGTTGCTGACTGATTTTACCTTAACACTCATCCTCTTTACTCCACAGTCCTCCCTCCCCCTCCTCCTTCACCCCCAAGTCTCTCCCACGACTGCCCTCCCCCACCTCTAGCTGATCATGGCATCAGAGGCAGAGAAAACATTCAATCGGTTTGCTGCCTTTGGAGAATCATCAAGCAGTGGCACTGAAATGAACAACAAGAACTTCTCCAAGCTATGCAAAGACTGTGGCATCATGGATGGCAAGACGGTCACCTCCACAGATGTGGACATCGTGTTCAGCAAAGTCAAGTGAGGAGCCAAAGATGTGGGGGTGGGGGTGAGAAGAAAGTGCGAGGTAGTTGGCCATGGAAGGGTTCATGTGGCGGAACATTTGCAGTGGGCCTACCAAGCACCACAGGGTACCTGGCACTGTGCTATTCTTTGTCATCGAGACACTTACTGATAGGACAAAAGAGGACAAATCTGAGTGAGGTAAGAGTTGGACCTTGGAAGGTAATGCATTCGTGCTCCAAAGTTTCTGGATTTCTGTCTAACTGACCAGGGCCAAGAACGCCCGAACCATCACGTTTCAACAGTTCAAAGAGGCAGTGAAGGAACTGGGCCAGAAGCGCTTCAAAGGGAAGAGTCCAGATGAAGTCCTGGAGAGCATTTATGGACTCATGGAGGGCAAGGACCCAGCCACCACTGGCGCAACTGTGAGTGACAGTCTTCATCCCCTTGACCCTACTTCCCTAAATCCCCATTGTTCCAGTCTACCCTCCCTAACCCTGCCAACTGTGTGACTGTAGAGACAGGGAAGAAACAGACTTTAGAGATCATCTAGATATTCCAGAAGTCAGGAAAATGTGGCCCAGAGAAGGGAAGCGACTTGCCCAAGGTCCATGGCTATTTTAATAGTGGATTTAGACTAACTTCCAAGTGTCCAGTGTCTGAGCCAGGCAGGTAGGGCTTGGTGGCTTTTGGAGGACATTAGTGTAGAGGATTTGGTACCTGATGCCCACTCCTCTTTCAGTTCTTATTTAGGGTTTAATCTCAGGCCTCCTGCCTCTCACCTACTCCCTTTTTTAATTGTCCTGTCTGAACTAAAAGCTCTTTCTACAATGGATATTGGGTTGGGGAGTGGGAGTGAAGTCCTCTGGTAGCAACCTAGTCAGAATACTTTTTGTTTCCTCTGGAAACAAAAAAAAAAAACCACCCTCCCTCTGCACACACCACACTCATTCCCACACCACACTCCTCCTCCCCCACGAGTGAATGGCTCTTACTGGAGTTCCTGCCCACAGCTGCATCTGGGCCCTAAGAAAGCAGCACCCCATGCCAGTGGCAGAGCAAGAGCTCCAAGCACTTGTTCTAAGTATCTCTGGCCATCTTTGGGGAAGGGATATGACAGGGTAAGGAAAGGAAGAGGGTTCAAATCCATCCTCTGGCTTGCAGAAAGCAACAACAGTGGGTGCAGTGGACCGTTTGACAGACACCAGCAAGTACACCGGCACCCACAAGGAGCGCTTTGATGAGAGTGGCAAGGGCAAGGGCATTGCCGGACGGGAAGTGATGAATGACAACACAGGCTATGTGAGTGGTTACAAGGGTGCTGGCACCTATGATAAGAAGACCAAGTAAGGAGGAGCTTCATCTTAGCTCACTAGCCCCCTGACCCTGCATGTTTAACACCAGGGAACTTGGAAAATAATAAACATCTGTGTGTGCAGCAGCTAAAATCTCTGTCTATGAGGGACAGATGGGCCTACTAGTGTAGAGAGAGGGAGAAGAGGCAGCGCAGGAGTGTGGGTTCTCAACAACAAACCCTTCACTCTGCTTAGCCTTATGCCTACCAGCCATCAGTTAGCATTCCTCCTCAACAGTTGCTTCCAAGAACAGGATGGAAGAATATATTTGAAGTTAAGAAATGAACCAGATGTGGAGGTAAAAGTATTTGCTACTTGTGTTCACATATTACTGATATTCACCTCTCCACCCCCACCCCCTAAAAGGGTGTAGCAGTTCCTGATGTGATGGACTATGACTGTATCACATATTAGATCCTTCCCTGTCCCTCCACCTTCCTCATCTGTTACAGTTCAGGTTTTTTGGGTGGAGAAGTAGAAGCCAGCTAAGGTGGCCTGACTTCTATTACAAATTTGTTCCAGAGCTAGGGTAATGGGAGAGTCTATTTTCAACACCCAGCCCAGCACTAAGTTTTACCCCACATCACCTCCATCATGGTGCACATGGGACAGAAGAGCTTACAGACTGCTAAGGGTAGCTCAGGAAGATGGCCAGATGGGGGAGGCTGCCAGGATTCCAAGAGCAGGAGTTCTGGGGCACTGAAGAAAAAGCAATTAAATCACAAAGGAGTCAGGTGTATGTTCTTAACTTTTTATTTTGAAATGATTATGGATTCACAGAAAGTTACAAAAAAAAAAATAGTACAGAGGGGTCTCTTGTGCCCTTCACCCAGTTTCCTCCAATGGTTACATCTTACGTACTCAGATGTGGTTTTAGAAATTTATGTTTGATTAGAGCTGGGCCTGCCTCATTCCCTGCCTGGTCAGGGGCAGACTCTGGAGTCTGGGGGATTTGGGAGGAGCTTCTGGAAGAGAAGGGAAGCAGGAACCTCTGTGGAATGGATGAGAGAAGATACCTTGAAATGCCAGTGAGCCAAGGTAAGAAGACTGGAAGAAAAAGAGGTTGGAAAAAGGAAGGCAGGGTGACTAAGGTGGTGGGGAGTTGCGGGGAGAGACAGTCCTAGGCTCCATAGTAAGAGGAAAGAGGAGAGGAAAGTTATATGAAGGGAGAAACAATGATTTCACAGAGAGAAACAGGCTGGAAACTGGGGGTTGTGGGGAAGTGAGGCTAACATGAGTCTGTAGGCCTCAGGGAGGTTCCTATAGCTAGCCATATCCCCTGAGTAGGTGCGTGAGTGGAGGGAATTATAAGGGAACTAGGGGAGGCTGAGACGAGAAGGGTGGTGGGAATGGGGAGGTGAGACTCGGAGCTGGTGCCTGTTGCCATGGTGTGAGCTGAGGCCCTGGGCCTCCATCCAGGACTTAGGATCTGGCCCAGTGGGTGGACAGTCACTGCCAACTGGACACAGTCAACTTCTTGGGTGGGTTTTACTGTCTCTGGGAGAGGGAGGATGATGAGGAGGTGGGGGTGAAGAGGGGGTAAACAAGCTGGAAAGAACCTAGAAGGTAGCACCACTTCGCATGGTGATCAAAGCCCTGGACATTTTCCCACCCACCTGGTCTCTTGGGAGGGGACTCTGCCTGCCTCAGAAGTCAGGAAGGAAGTCTTGTTACAGGAATCAGAGTGTTGGAAATGGAGACAGGCTGGTCTGTGGTGGTAGAGGTTGGGGAATGACTCAGGAATTAAACTCCCGAATAGAGACCGATGATACCTATTGGATCAGCTTCATACTTGCGGGAGCAGAGTAGGTAGAGCTTCTGGTTGGTCAGGGTGCTATCGTAGTAGCAACTGGTGGGTGGCTGTTGGTAGTTCAGGGAGCAGACCGTGATGGGGAAGGAATCCTCGGTGAGCGTGCAGTATTCATTGTAATTATCACAGAAGTTGTCACTATACTTGCAGAACCTCTTGACGACCTTCCAAGGGGCATGTATCACATAATGGATCTTTGGGCAATCCGAATTTTGCACCTTGCCCCGCATATAGGACATCAGACCATTACAATAGCCCTGGAAACCCTTTGGGAAGATAACCCTGGGATAGTCAATGTTTAAAGCATAGAATTTCTTTTTGCCAATCTGCGTCTTGATGTCCATGACCAGAGTTGGCCCTAGAACAAGCTGAAGGAAAAGGAGCCGGGTCACAGCTGGTGCCATTCCTCCTGCTGGTAGAGTTAAGGTGGTTGGGGTCAGCAGTGGGCCTGGAGTGACTGTCTGCCACATCCCAGAACCTCCAACATTCCCAACCCAACAGTACTTTAGAGATCATCTCACCCATAACCGAGTTCTCATGACCCAGAAAGAGGAGATGCTTGCCCAAGGCCACCCAGCCAACCACCCAGCTGAAGGTGAAGCCACCCCACCTTCAGCCACCCCTGCTCCCTTGGTCCACCACAGAAATCTCAGCCTCTGCAAAGTTTGTGAACTGCAACACTTGCAGAATACGAGCTCTAACTGGCCTTGGGTGAGAGGACTCTTCCCAATTATCCCTGGGCCCCTGGCACTCCTGCTAGTAAAAAATGCAGAGAGGAAAGAAGGAGCAGACTGACCTGATAATTCTCTGGCAGCTGGGAGGAAGGACAGGAGCTGAAGACAGCTGGGTAGGGACGGGTGTTCTTCTTGCCGAGGCCAAGACAGTCAGGAGATGAGGAGAGGCTAGAAAGGTTTCTAAGTAAAGATCAGTCTGGGAGGAAGGAATGTCCCCTGAGTTTGATGAGCCCCTGTGCTGAGGGGGTTGGATGGGTGGGAGGAAAGAGGCATTGCTATCTGGTCTCCTCCTCTACAGTGTCATTGGAACACTTAGTTCCAACCTCCCTGCCAAAAGTTCCTAAGTGTCTGGGCTTTCTTTGATGTTTTCTCTGTTCCATAGCCTGTGCTCTCATGGCAAGGTGAGTAGGAAAGCACTGTTGTGTTTCTGAGGAACAAAGTGCTTCTTATTCCTGACCCTCCGAGAACAAAGCGTTCGCCACTTTGTCATCCCACTCACGGGAGCCCAGGAGGGCATGTACTCAGGGGCCTCCCACCAAAGTGCTGGGCTGAGAATCAAAGACCTCCATGTGGACTCCCCACAGTCCCTATCAGCCTTACTCCTGTCACACCCACAGCGCTCACCTGTGACCTCAGGCCTTGTCAGAGTCTGAGCACTACTGGAAATGTCTGCATGCTGACTCTGAAGCCTCAAACTTGGCAGGTTGGATTTGAAAGCATAACCTGAACATGAAAAGCTGTGGATGCCAGAGCCTGGCGTGATCTGTTTCTTACTGTTGGTTGGTCTCTGAGTGGTTTGCCATGCTGGGGAAAGGGCCACACTCCTATCTTTTTCATCAACATCTTCCCTTTCATCACAATCAAAGAGCTAACTAGCTCTCTGGAGCCTGCTAACCCTCACTCTTGACTTCCACAGGTCACTCAGCCTTGTCTGTCTGCAAAGTGTCTTCCAGATTTGGGGCCTTCTCTTAAGACAGCCTTTTTACCTTTGCTGGACAGCAGAAAAGGGGAGTCAGAACACAGAAAGCTGAGTTCTCCAAGGCCCCCAATATAGCTCAGGAGGAGGGAGTAAAGCCCCAGAGAGACAGATTGGTGTTCCTCATGTACAACCCCCTAAACTGGCACTTTCTGACAACACAAACTACAGTCCAAAATGGAATCCATCTTCCTCACAACTTGTTTCTCTTCCTGTGTTGTCTGTCTCAGTTTCCCTGGTTACCTATGCAAGACACCTGAAAGTGATTCTAGACCCTGCCACCTCCCCAATACCAGCTATGGGGAGGCAGTCCTGCATGGTGGTGAAGATAAGGCTTTTGAGTAAAACAGATCAGGAATTGAATCCTGCCTCTGCAGCTTATAAGCTGCACACCATCTGTCTGTTTACTAAATCACTGAAAGCTTCCTTGTTTCATCTGTTCATGAGGATAGTATTTTTTACCTCATGGCAGTATTAGGATCCATTAAGATGTATATCAAGAGGTTTTAGACCAGTACCTGGCACATGGTGAGTCCTCAGTATGAGCCTGAGTCCATCAGTCACACAGCCCTGACAATCTTAAACTTTTCCCAAGCCCATCTCTTCCATTCTTATTTCTTTCTCAGCAGATGCTCTTGTCTCTCCTGGACACCACACACACTCCAACTCCAGTAAGACTCAACTCAAGTATATATCTGATTCAACTTCAAGAGAAAAAATGTGGTCCCTTCTTTCATCTAAAACTCTGCAATAGCTTGTTTCTCATAGGTTAGGGGTGCCCAATCTTTTGGCTTCCCTGGGCCACATTGGAAGAAGAATTGTCTTGGGCCACACATAAAATGCACTGTCACTAATGACAGCTGATGAGCTTAAAACATGCAAAAAAAATTCATAGTGTTTTAAGAAAGTTTACGAATTTGTGTTGGACTGCATTCAAAGTCATCTTGGGCCACACGTGGCCCGTGGCCCATGGGTTGGACAAGCTTGTCGTAGGGTATAGTCCAAACTACATCTCACAGGACATAAGATTTCCCATGATCTTGCACCTGCCCATGTGTGCAACTGCGTCTGCATCCCTGCTTTATTCCCACCTTGTCCCTCACCTCCTCCATGCCGTATCTCCTGCTGTCTCCTCTATCTGGAACCCTGCTGCTGCACCACTCCTTCTCGCCCCCATCTATCTCATGGTGCTAGCTCATAGAAAGACTCAACCCAGAGGTGCCACTTAGAAAGCCTCTGGTTGTAAGGCCTCCCCAAGGAAGTGGGCACAGTCAAGCAAGTGAGGAGAGATCCCACATGGGCAGGTGGCTCATCTGTATTCTTCAGGCTGCTCAACAAGACAACACTGAGTGGGTGCCGATGCAGGGTGTTGCCTGAGCCTGGCTGACTCAAGCCTTTGCTTTGAGGAAGCCAACCACATTGTGGTCCCTGCCTTGAATTATGCCACCTCTTCCCTGGTCCCTCAAGGCTGCAGCTTCCCTGAGAATAGAAAGGGACTTTTTATACCTTTTGGTCTTCCTCTTCCTTCATTCCCCACCCACCCATCATTGCTCTTCACTCCCCACACCCAACACCACTCACTTCTGCCAGACAGTTACAGAAACTGAACAGCACGTTATAGAGGAAAGCATTCAGAACTTAAATAATATAATGATGATGAGCCTTTGGGTTCCCAACTGCAATCCTGGTGATCTGTTCCCTAAAATCCTATCCTAGAGGTGCTGATGAATAAGATTACTTCATCCATTCTGACATCCTCATCATGGTGTCATGTGCTCTGTAAGCCTGAGATTAGTGGGATTGTTGTCCCATTACACTGGGTTTTACATACTCAAGCATTACCCTAGGGATGAAAAACTAAGTTCTAGACGGACAGTGGCTTGCTCAAGGTCATATGTCTAATTCAGTAGTTCCAGGGACAATTGGATAATGTCCAGAGACATTTTTGGTTGTCACAACCAGGACTTGCTACTGGCCTGTGGCCAGGGATATTGCTGAACATCCCACATTTCACAGGATAGCTCCCATAACAAAGAATTATCCAGACCAAGATGTAAATAACACTGAAGTTGTGAAGCCCTGGTCTAAATAATTAGCTAATCAAATTTCTTAACAAAAGCAGACTTACTTGTATCTTATGTGTTAATGAAAATGATAAACATCTGGGACTTCAAAATATTTTTGTTAAACAAATGTTAATTGTAATGGTGCTGATTCTACCAGCAAAATGTGTATTGATAGTTCACCATTGAAACAATAACTAAGTTGTTTTTCCTGTAAAGATGACCCTCTGCATGTAATCATTTACACATTCTCTCCCTGCCCTCCCCAACGGTAAACATTTGTAGAACAACTGGCTACGGTGGCAGGTGCAAGGGTGACTCCCTATGACTGAGGAGAACCCCAAAATTTTGCCTTGAGTGGGCTCACCATGATCTCATTGGCATTACCCTTTGCCCTGTCCAATTCAAGTTGCTCAAACAATATACTGTGTCATGGACAGTTCCTGAGCTGTCCTTGAAACCGAAGGATTGCCTCAGCCATCTCAACCTTCTCGTAGCATCACCTGAAACCCAGGGCTGAAGTCCAGAAGCTGCATTGTCAGTTCCTCATCTGCTAACCATCTCTGTGGGCTGGTAGCAATCCCATCTCAGACTGGGATCATCGAGGAGCAGACAGAATGCCTTCTAAAAGTTGAATCAGTTAGGGTCACTTATATGCAAGGCATTATGCTATATACTGTGAAATGTGCAAAAGAAGTATAACAGGTGGTCCTCGTGTTGTGGGAATTGACAGTCTAAGAGAAAGATAATACATACATACGAAGAAATAACCAGTGATTCAAGGCAGAAAATTATACATTCTGAAGACAGTAAATGCTGTAGGAATTTAGAGGTGAGAAAGATGTCTCTGAATTTGGAGGGTCAGAGAAAGTTTTCCTCAGGGGTAACCCTGGCTTGGAAATGGATCTCGTGGTGAAGTTAGAAGTTAAGCGGAGATAAAGAAGATTATGAAAGACATGCTTGAAAAATGGGGGGAAACCCGTCTGGCTGGGGTTGAGGCACTCAGTGGGAGAAAAGTCAGAGATAAAGTTAGAAAGACAGATTTGCCCATTTGTGGCAGACCCTGATTACCAGGCTAAGGAAATGATACTTTGCTCTGTACATAAATGGGGAGCTGGGAGGGCTTGTGAGACAAGGCTTCACTGAACCCCCGAATCAGTTTCCTCTTTCCTCCATCCTGGCTTGTCTAAAGGCATTGGTCTGGGAGCCAAGGATTCCAAACTTCTGTCAGTGCTGCCTCCTTCTGACCCACAGCTGTTCCAGGAAAGGTCATGGGAATTCAAGGACCTGAAGCAAGTCCCACATCTGATCTCAACTTGCTGTATGTTTCACTTTCTCAGTCTACAAAAATGAGCCCATTACCTTTATTTATCAAAGGACCAACAAAATTAGGATAACAGGACTTGGATCTGCTCTTGCTTGGAAGGAAACTCTCATGGGCTTTCCATTGGTATCCAGAGGCTGTGTGGAACTCCGGAAGGCAGAGAGGCTTGGCTCTGAAGGGTAGGCACCAATCCAGGCCCAGCCCTCCTCTCTCCCTTCCCCCTTCACTCCCTCCCAGCACAGGCGAGAGGAAGCAGCAGCTGTTGTCCTGTGGGGAAGACAGGCAGAGGTCCACCTGGCACTGTTGGGATTTTCACAACACCCGCCCCAACTTAAACACACACACACAACAGCAGCCTAAGGAGAAGCTCAGCCAACAGCAGTGACTTCGACGATAGAATGAGAAGGAAGCAGGGGTAAAGACTGCTGGTGTAAGGGACTTTTTCTTCCCTTCTGTCTTCTCTCCCACAATTTTGTCTTCTGCTCTTGCTCTCTCTAAGTCTTTCTTCTCCCTCCTGTGAAACTCCTGAACCAGTCCCTGGCCTGATGCCTGAATCTTTTTCTTCTTCCTAACCTTGTCCCCCTTCCTCCATCTTTTTCTGTTGCCCCATGAATGCAGTGAAGGCAAAATAGCAAAATTAGCCTACCAAGTACAAGGTGAAGCAGATCTTGGAAGCTGGATAATTTGGGCACACAAACAGAATCACCTCCCTTATCCAAATAATTGAGGCAAAACAAAGGTTTCAGTTGAATTGCACATATGGTAGGTTCAACTCTATTTCAATTTTCATGTGCAAACTTAAACCTTTACTCTCTTTTCCCTTTGGACTGAGGCAGTAGGGCCATGTTTATTTCACTTTCACACAGTCCTAAGGCAGCCTTCTACACAGCCCAGCATACTCGAGTTGAAGAACAAACTAGGATAATTACAATGTCAGGAAAACACAAGTGCAGAGGGAAGTTTAAATCATGGCTTGAAAACATCTCACTCTAGAATAATGAGAAGTAGAAAGGAGACCAAGCTAGGCATTCAAATGAGCTTGCAGCCTTCCGCCCAGCCTCCATTCCAAAGGCTAGACTGGCCTCTGCTGATACACATTTGATACACAGCCTGGTTTAAACCGTGGGTTTTATCTCCTAACATTCATGTTTCTACAGCAGCAGGGGCATAATTCTCTATCCAGAACTTCTATCCAGAAGTTCAGCCTGCAAAGCTTGGGACACCTTAACAAAGAAGTGAACAGCTGTTCCCCTAGCCAAGGCCTCGCTGAGGACAAACCAGAAGAGCCAAAGGCCTGTGTGAATTTGTTCTTGATTCTCTTTTGCCATCTAGTGGCATTTCTCATCTCCAACACCACTTTTTCTTCTAAAGATCCTTCATCCTGACCCCCAACCCACAGCTGTGCTGTCCATCTACTAAAATAATGTCCTCCTGGACTCAAAACAAACTCCCCATCCTCCTGACTCAGAATCATAAATGCTGGACCAGAACACAAACCTTATGATCAGGATGGGTTGTGTGACTTCTCCACAGTTATAATCCACACAACAGCCAGGTAATCCTTTAAGCAGACAAGTTCTTTGTTCATTACTTAGAACCCTCCTAGGGTTGCCTATTGTGCTCGGAGTAAAAGTCACAGGCCTTCAGATGGTCTGTAAGTCTTCCCAATGACCTTGTCTCTGGTTCCTCTCTGAACTCTCAGTCACCTGCTCCAGCCACACTGGACACACTGCTGTTCCTCCAACACCTTAGGCATCTGTCTGCTCTGGGGCTTTTGCAGTGCTAGTCTCTTCACTTGAAACATTCTTCCTCCCTGATAATCACAAGTTCACTCTTATCTTCAAGTCTCTGCCCCAGAGTCAGCGATTTCAACCATCTTATATAAAATTACTGACCACCAACCCCTATACTGTTCTACTTTTTTCCCCAGCAATTATCACTTTGAGCAAAGTATACATTTTGTTTTTACTGTCTTTCTCCAATGGAATGTAAGCTCCACAAAGGCAGGGACTTTTGTCTTTGTTTGTTTTTGTTGTTTGTGTGTTTGTTTTTTGAGACAGGGTCTCACTCTGTCACCCAGGCTGGAGTGCTGTGGTGCAATCATGATTTTTCAATACAGATTTTATCTCCAAAGCTCAAGCAGTCCTCCCACCTTAGCCTCTGGAGCAGCTGGGACCACAGGCACGCACCACCATGCCTGGCTAATTTTTCAAATTTTTCGTAGAGACAGAGTTTCGTCACATTGCCCAGGCTGGTCTTGAACTCGTGGCCTTAGGCAATCCTCCTGCCGTGGCCTCCCAAAGTACTAGGATTACAGGTGTGGCCCACCGTACCTGGCCATTTTTGCCTTTTTTGTTCAGTGATATATCCCAAGTACCTTGACACTGAGTAGGTGCTCAATAAATATTTGTTGACTACATGAATGAATCATGCCCAAGATTCTGAGATTACCTACCACTTACAGGTAAATTCTGAAAACAAAAATACTACTCATCTCAGTTTCACAGGCCTTCTCACGCACAGAGGGTGATGCTTCTCTGTCTTGGCGTCTCGGTTCTCCTGAGTGTCATATTCCAAGCTCACAGGAGCCCCCAGAGTAGCACTGACCCAGACGCTACACACAGCTGTCACCACCACAAGGAACAGGACATACAAAGTGAAGGAAGTACTAAGGCAGGATGTTGAGAGCAGCAACACCAATAGCATTTTAAACACAAACATTTGGGAAGTATTAAAGTTTCGTAATTTTCAATAAAAAAGGGAGGGAACAAGTGAAATTGAGAGGTGTTGGCTGCCTTCTCCAGGTAAAGCCACATGGCCTTGGTTGGTACCTGGAACTGGAGAGGCCCATGAATCATTGTGGAATGGCTTTGCTACTGGGGATGGTGCCGGGCATCATGACAGTGATGATTCACCCACCTCCCTCGTGTCTCTTCCATCTCCTCCGAAAGGTAAGCAGTATCTCCAGATGACAAGGAATCAGACAAAGCATCTTTCTAGGCTGTTCGATCTGTACCTCAGGTCAGAGAAGAAGCAACCCTTAACATCACAGTGATTGACTCTTCCCAGGATCGTGGACCATAGGTGTATATGAGAGGATATAAATGACAACTCTTCCTGAAATTGATTTCAGTTGACACCTGGATCAGGTGTTCTATTAAAGAGTCATTAGAACCATGTGGCCAGGGGACAAATATAGTCTTTGAATGTGACGTTCAAGCTTCCTCATTGCTGAACATGTTTAGGCAGGTACAGGCATCCTTAGGTGTCCACGTATTTGGGACATGTAAGTGGAGAGGCATGAACCTGATTCATTTCCTGATCCAGTGATGCTCCCCAGCCTGCCTCCAAACAGATGCAGCATAGCCCAGGCCAGCTCTTAAGGAGTTCAGGAGTGAGAAGAGGCCCTCAGAGATCTGACAGCCTAGCAGCGCGTGGACACCGCCTCAGCCCGCTGAGCAGGAGTCACAGCACGAAGACCAAGCGCAAAGGTGAGGCTGCAGTAGGTTCTGGGGAGGAGTGAGGACAGAGGAGGAGGGATGGGCTCCGATCCTGACAGTACACTCGAGTGAGTGATAAAATGGTTAAAGGAGGGACTGGATTTAGGGGAGATGGGGACACGCATTGGGGAAAGGGGAGAGTGATGTTGGGGATGGAGGCAAAAAAAATGAAAAAGAATGGGAACACAGATGAGATGGGAATGGGGACACAGGAACATGGAGACACAAAAGAGATGAGATTTGAGGGAAAGGGGAGAGGACAAAGAGTGACAGGCAACAGGGACAGAATGAAGGGAGCAGAAATACAAGATGAGAGATGGGGCCACAGGGTTGGTGTTGGGACTGCAGCGGATGTGGACACACAGAAGAAGAGGCAGAGATGAGACAGTGAGGAAAGGAGACAACCGAGTAGGGAGATGAGTGATTAGCTCATATGAGCAAGTATAGGAGGACTAATTTCTCGACTGAACACCTCTGTCCCAGCGACCCCTGCCCTCTATTCTAACTGCTCCCCCCTTGGAGAGATGGCACCGGCCGGAGCAGGATTCTGCCCCCTTCTGCTGCTTCTGCTGCTCGGGCTGTGGGTGGCAGAGATCCCAGTCAGTGCCAAACCCAAGGGCATGACCCCATCTCAGTGGTTTCAAATTCAGCACGTGCAGCCCAGCCCTCAAGCATGCAACTCAGCCATGAAAAACATCAACAAGCACACAAAACGGTGCAAAGACCTCAACACCTTCCTACACGAGCCTTTCTCCCGTGTGGCCACCACCTGCCAGACCTCCAACAAAGCCTGCAAGAATGGCGATAAAAACTGCCACCAGAGCCATGGACCTGTGTCCCTGACCATGTGTCAGCTCACCTCAGGGAAGTACCCGAACTGCAGGTACAAAGAGAAGCGCCAGAACAAGTCTTACATAGTGGCCTGTAAGCCTCCCCAGAAAAAAGACTCTCAGCAATTTCACCTGGTTCCTGTGCACTTGGACAGAGTCCTTTAGGTTTCCAGACTGCCTTGCTGAGCCTCAATTCCCTCTCCAGGCCTCTGCACCACTCCCCTACACCCAGAGCATTCTCTTCCCCTCATCTCTTGGGGCTCTTCCTGGTTCAGCCTCTGCTGGGAGGCTGAAGCTGACACTCTGGTGAGCTGAGTTCTAGAGGGATGGCCTTTCATCTTTTTGTTGCTGTTTCCCCAGATGCCTATCCCCAAGAAAGGGGCTAAGCAAGCTCAGGGCTGTGGGTTCCCTGGTCTATGCCTTTGCACATGTCTCCCCTGCCCCCTGGCATTATGGCAGCATGACAAGGAGAGGAAATAAATGGAAAAGGGGCATATGGGATTTGTGGACACAGCTGTTTCTGTTCCTGAACTAGAAGTCTTCCCCAGCTCTGACGTGGCAGTGAGGTGACCTGAAGCAAAGAAAAATATAAATAAATACCACTTCATATTTGTGTAGAGCCTCCACGTGAATCCTGTAATCCCCTGTGACATAGACTTGACAGGGATTGTATGCCTTCTTTATGGATGAGGAAATGGAGATTTTAGAAAGCTTAATTAATTAAAGAGCTTGTCTAATTAGTTAGTAGCAGAACCTGGACTTGAACCTAGGTCTCATTACTCTAAATATACTGTACTTTCTACTCTACCAGTTGGGCAACAAAGAAGACACCATTACAGGGGCAAGAGGAGAACTAGGTAAAAGTTCACCCATGAAGAAATGAGTGCTCTGAAGAGCCAGTTACCCTGTGTTGGCTGCAATAAAGATCATTACCTCTCTAGCCAAGAGATTGTTTATAAGGTGCTCTGGCATCTTATTCCTTCTCTCTCTTCCTCTCTAACTGCCCCTCCCACTTCTCTAGACCACTGCTCTTCTAACCTAGGCCCTGGGCCTGGCTCTGGCTGGATCCCCTTGGCCTGAAGACATAAGGTAAAGGGAGTGTCTCAACTTCATCCCCCAGATCCAGGATCACATTTCCTTTGACCTTAAAGGACTTCCATGGCCCTGAGCCTGCTTGTCACAAACAGGCTGGTGGGAGCTGCCAGAGCTTCCTTCCTCCTGATAATGATCTCCCCTGCCTCGTTGCTTCCCTGGCTCTCCACTCTGGCAGTCTGCCCAGGCCTGAGGGGTTGAGATGCGAAAATGCCATTTCCCCGTCCCCCTGGGCTACAGATACCATTTCTCCTGCTCTGGTGAGTGGAGCTGGAGAAGATATGGCTTGGTATTGGCCAGTCCTGATGGTCTCTCCAGCATTGCCTGACCAGCACCATCCCCTTCTTTCTTCCTTTATCTCAGTCCCAAACAAGCTGCATTGTATCCCATGCCCGCCCTATTTCAAACCCAAATTCATTATAAGACATTCCCAACCCTGATGAGGATTCCACTCTACCTGTCCCTCCCTATCAACTGCTGTGCTTTTTCACTACTGACCAGAGTCAGAGTAAGCTTGAGAGCCAGACAGAATCAGGTGTAAATCCTGACTCCCGTCTACATGACCTCGAGCAATTGGCTAGTCTGTTTCTCTACAGCAAAATGAGAGGAATCCTACCTGCCAAATAGGATTCCAGGTAAAGATGTGGAAATGATATCTATGGAACTCCTGTCAGCCCCAAGGACTGATAGGTATTAGATCATGATAACTAGTAGTAGCAATCTCCATCTTTGGAAAACACGTAGACCAAGGCAAACACCCTCACTAAGGTCTCCCCAGAGACTTTCTTCTGCCAAAGTGATGATCTTGCGTGGGTTAGAGGACAAGCCCGCAGGCAGAGTCCTGCGAGGCAGCCAGGTTGTCTGAGATGATAAGGAGAGAAGATAGGGAAAGGGTGATTAAAAGAAAGGAGAGCAGATCATTGAACAGTTCTAACAGAATGAGGGCCGATAAGTTGATGAGTTGGCCACCACAGCCAAATGACTGAGTGTAAAAATAACTACTACCTGGAAACAGAACATTGCCATCATCTAATGGACTTCTGGGATTCTTTAATAAATCTGAAGTTTATCCAAAATCTGAATTTGTTTTGAACTCTTGTGGTCACTATACTACATTTACCATTCTAAAGAGATGATTTTCACTTGTGGTGCATAGAAAAGCAAGATACTTGGGGCAGCCAATTTTTTTCTTCATTTTATTCTTTTTTCACAACTGTATCTTCTTTATTGATGATCTTTCTATGTATAATGTGGTTTTAGAGACATTCTCCTCACAAAATTTAAAGTGGCTAAAAATTATGCCTTCAATACATCTTCCCAAAATAAGAATTTCCAAATAAAACTTTTTCTTGAAAGACTCATGACCTAAATAGCATTAAATAACTAGAAAGTTCTGAAGTAACCTGTGGCGATAGAAGTCAGAATAGTTGTAGCGTTGGGGAAGTACCAACTGTGAAGGGGCATGGGGGAGCCTTCTGAGGACCTGGAAATATTCTATTCTTGGTCTGGATGTGTTTCCTATGTGAAAGCTCATTGAACTGCACACTTAAGATTTGTTTCAAGAGGTGGCAAGTGGTCATAAAAATAAATAAATTTTTAAAAGACGTGTATTTTATGTAAGTTTTATCTCCATTTCAAAAAACTCTTTCAAATATATGTACTTCTTATGGGATTATTTTATTTACATAGTAAATGATAATACACCAAGATTCTAAAAAGATTATGACATAATTAAATCATAGATAGAATTATGATGTAATCTAATTTCTATTGTTCTGTTTTGTACTATTTGTTAAATTAAATACTACTTGTGCTGTTTATTAAATTGTTGTAAATACATTGGGCTCAGCCAGGCACAGTGTCTCTCACCTGTAATCCCAGCACTCTGGGAGGCCTAACCAGAGCAGATTACTTGAGCCCAGGAGTTTGAGACCAGCCTGGGCAACATGGTGAAACCCCATCTCTACAAAAAATACAAAAATTAGCTGGATGTGGTGACACATGCCCGTAGTCCCTGCTACTCCAGAGGCTGAGGTGGTGGATCTCTTGAGTCCAGAAGGTCGAGGTTGCAGTGTGCCATGATCTGCGTTCCAGCCTGGGTAGCACTCCAGCCTGGGCACCACTGCACTCCAGCCTGGGTAACAGAATGAGAGCTCATCTCAAAATAAATACATACATACATACATACATACCTTGGTCTCAGAAGGTACAGTTGGCTTTTGAACAACATGGAGGTTAAGGGTGCCTACTGTGTAGTCAAAAATCCAAGTATAACCTTTGACTCCCCCAAAACTTAACTACTAATAGCCTATTGATCACCTGAAGCCTTACCAATAACATAAACACTCAGTTAACATATCTCTTGTATGCTATATGTATTATGTACCATATTCCTATAATAAAGTAAGATAGAGAAAAGAAAGTTGTCATTAAGAAAATTGTAAGGAAGAAAAAATATATTTACCATTCCTATAGTGGAAGAGGCTCATCATAAAAGTCTTCATCCTCATTGTCTTCACGTTAAGGAGGCTGAGGAGGAGAAGGAAGAGGAGGGGTTGGTCTTGCTGTCTCAGGGATGGCAGAAGCAGATGAAAATTGGAATTTAGTGGACTTGCACAGTTCAAACCATTGTTGATCAAGGGACATAAGGTTCTTCCTAAAATTCTCTAGCTAACACACTTTCTCCTATTATTTATGTTACCTGTGAACTAATTTCCTATTTTTTAACCATGTAGAAATTTAAAATAATTGTTTCATATATAAGCTCTCACAACCATTAATAACATCTTTCTTAAAATAATAAATAATAAATATTCATGTATACTTCCACTGGCTGGTAGACTTTCAATATAATAATTTTTTTAAATTCACAAGGAAAATTTCACTCCAGGTTACATCTAGAATACTCACCAATATTTGGAAGTAACTATTCAGATATTAACAATAAATCCAAATGGCCTGGCCTATTCTCATTACTGGTGCCCTACCTGATTAGATTTAACAGTCACTCAATCCTTCATGTGATCTTGATCACAGCCAAGTTAAAGGATGCCAGGAATAGTGATGAAATAGGAATTTGGCTATTCAGGTTTCCAAAAGGCAACGCTACACTACAAGAAGATAATAAGTTGGGCCAAATACCAAGTCTGGCTGAACTGTGATGCATTGCTACTTGAAAGCTGAATAATAGGAAAAGGAGACTGCTTAATTATGAGATATTTCTGTTGCTGGGGCTGGGAGCTTGGAGAAAGGATCGTGTCCAGGGGAGCTTTGCCCAGTCTTGCACAGATGGACTTAAAGAGAATTGTTTCAACATGGAGTGAAGGAGCAGAAATGGAGTTCAGTAAAGAAAGTAACCCAAGAACTGGAGATAGATGAGCTGGCTCTCCTAGGAGGGAGACTATTTGAGGTAGACTGGGGAGGAGACTTTTCTACATGACTCTGGTTCCCAGAAGTCTCCACACACTGAAGTAAATGAGCTCTAGACACTATGAAGAGGGCCAACAGAATCACTGTGAAGAGAAGGATCCTCAGCTCCAGGGATTTCCTCTGCCTACACCCTGCCCTTAAGATCAGGACCCTTTGGCCCTCTTCATAGTGTCTGGGGCTCTGGGGGATAACCCTTGAGCTATGGTACCAAAAAACATACCAGTAGCAACAACGTCCAGGGAGCCTTCTCTTCTCCTTGGGAGAGCTTCAACTCATTTCATCACACTTCTTCCAGGCTCCTGCACAACTGGGCTTCCAAAAGTGCTTCAAAGACTTCAGAGCCTCATTCTAATGTCCTCCCCCTACCCCCACCCCACCATAAGTGGGCAAAAAGAAGAGCAGTTATAGCTCTTACCAGGATGCTTACCTGTGCAAGACTCCAAAACCAGTAAGCTTGGGAACATCCATGGAACCACAGGGACACGAGAAAGCCCACATTGCTAATGAGATCTTGTAAGAAGTCCACAGTTCATAAGAGGAGAGGTAAAGAAAAATGTGTGCTCGTGATGAAAATACACACTGTGATACAAGGCCTCTTAGTTTAGGGAGGTGGGAGTTTCCCCATCTATATAAGCTGGTCTCAAACTCCTGAGCTCAAGCGATCTACTCTCTTTGGGCTCCCAGAGTGCTGAAATTACAGGTATGAGCCAATGTGCCTGGCAATAATGCTACCAACAGATGGTTTTTGGGCTTGAATACCTTCAGGGACAGGGATCTTCACTACCACTTCACAAGAGTATAATGTGGATTAAAAGTAACAATACATATAAAGCGCTTAGTACAGTGACTAGCATGTAGGGAAAGTTTGAGTAGTGTTAGCATTTCTATTTATCATTGTGGTGTCAAATGTTGAGTGGCCAAACCTGTGATGAATGGAGCAGGCTTGACTTCTGTGACAGAAGAACAAAGGATTTAAACAAGGGAGGCCAAACTCCTCCTCATCCGCCTCTTGCCAAATAGCTCCTAGCCAAGAGTAGATAAGGTAAGGTTTAAGGTCAGACAAAAAGGACAATATGTATTAATTTCTCTAGATAAAGTAATTTGGGAGGAATGGATGGGTACTTTGAGTTGAAGGAGAAGAAAAAGGGGGCTTTGGAGAATTTCTTTTAAGATTACTTGAGGGAGGTTTTTCTGATCTCCAACCTCTGTGAATTTATGAATCCAAAGATGTGAAAATAAGTTGGAGGACTTAGGACCACTAACTTTTGAGGGTGCCTGTGTATTCCCTGCTATCCAAAGAATTTGATTACTGCAGCAATTGATGGAGACAGGGCTCTAGTGACATTTCCAACTTCCCCTCCTAAGATATTTAAGTTAGTCCTTAGGAAGGCTTACTGTCCCCTCACCTCCATCGTGGAAACCCCTTATATTTTTCCCACCCTCTGATTCAGCTCCATTTTCTGGTTCATTTTCCATCATTCAAAACCTCCACCAATGCCTGTGACTCACGTCCGGTGGATTGGTTATAGCAGAAAAACATCGTGGTCATTACTTTCTATGGTTTTTTGATAGAAACTTAGTTGAATTGACACATTTAAAACATTAACTGTGGTGTGAATTAGTACAAATTCCTGCTTGGGTCATGGCATTTAGCACAAGACGAAATTTCCTATCTCCATGGCTTTAGGGCTCCCTCAGTAGATAATCACATTATAATGCTGCAAGACATCTTGGCCAGTGTTCTCGAGATCTTCTAGTGCTGCCTTCCTCATGTTGCAAATGAGCAAAATAAGACCCTGAGGACTTAAACACCTTGCCCAAGATTACATAAATAATTTAGGCAAAGAACTCGGGCTTTTCTGAATGAGCCCTGTGATATTTCCAAAATGGCACTCCAACTAATAATGTCGAATGGATCTCAGATATCTTTCTTTTTTTTTTTTTCTTTCTTTTTTTTTAATGAGACGGAGTCTTGCTCTGTCGCCCAGGCTAGAGTGCAGTGGCGCAATCTCGACTCACTGCAACCTCCGACTCCCAGGTTCAAGCGATTTGCCTACCTCAGCCTCTTGAATAGCTGAGATTACAGGAATGCACCACCAGGCCCAGCTGATTTTTGTGTTTTTAGTAGAGACGAAGTTTCACCATGTTGGTCAGGCTGGTCTTGAACCCCTGACCTTGTGATCTGCCTGCTTCAGCCTCTCAAAGTGCTGGGATTACATGTGTGAGCCACCGTGCCCGGCCCAGATATCTTTCAGGATCAAATCATACATGGACTGGCAAATCAATTTGCAAATGGGCAGACCCCTGGATTTGAGACAAAAGCATGTTCATCCAAAAGAGTATTTAGTGCCCATAATCCTGACATGTTGCATTTCTGACCTTCAACTGAATGCTCATATTGTATCATTGAGATGGAAAAAAAAAATAGTACATGAGGAATTGATGGCAAACTAGTCAAGCATGTCTCTGGCCATGCCATTGGCTGCTGGAAACATAAATAAGGATACGCAACAAGAAAAAGAGCCTGGACCTCCCATCTGCTATTCGGGACCAGGGTGAAAACATTACAGAGATCCTGTTTGGTGGAGCTCCAGGTGGGCCTGAGATAACCCAAGCATTTATCTTTGGTAAGGGTTATCACTTTTTACCCTTGAAATTGGCATATCCAGAACAGGATCTTCATGTACAACTAGAACCTGCAGAGCAATGGTTCCCAGAATTTCCCCTGAAGTGCTAGTAACCACAGTGGAAGATTAACTAAGACACCCAAAGGAATGCCCAACAAGCTTCAGCTTTCTCTGAAGTCTCCTTCTTTCGCTTAACTCATATTTATAAAATAGTAGTGCAGATGAGTGTTTTATATGCTATCTTAAAATTTTGTCTGTGGTAATAATAATAATAATGGATCAATGTCAATCTCCTCATTTTGGTGGCTGTCCTGTGGTTATGCATGCAAGAGTGCTTGTAATTAGGACATAGTCACTGAAGTGTTAAGGGGTAATGAGCATCATGTCTATAACTTGTTCTCAAATAGCTCAGAAATGTTAATAATTGGGGAAGTGGGTGAAGCATATAGGGGAGCTCTGTGTACGCTTTCTGAAATTTTTATATACATTTTAAATTATTTCAAAGTGAAAATATTTAAAAATTTTTTAATGTAATTCATTTCAATTTTTCTATCATACGATGTTATTTTCTGTAAAAATAATGCCTTAAATTACTCCCCATTCCCCAAAAAAAAGATAGTTTTGGTAAAATTGTAAAGAAGACATTTATCTTGTGACTGTGTACCCTCTGCATGCATCTGTGTTCCACCAGGGGTAGCAGTACACTGGCTTTAATGTTTTCCTTAACTTGCTCTTTGTGGGTTTCTATCTCTGACCGGTGTTTCTTTTCAAGAACTGGTTGAGGAAGATAGGATAGTCATGGGGTTAGGGCATTGGAAAGCTCCTTTTCATGCTGAAAAATGAGAAAATAGACATAGAGCACTTGGAACAGTGACTGGAACATAGAAAATCCTTAGTAAATGTTAACTATGATTGTTTTTATCATTGTGGCCCTTGTCATTCCTAGGAGGGCTGAAGGCTGCATGCAGGCTTGTTGTGGTAAGTCAGAGGTCTTAGGAAGGCAGCCGGCCTATGAGGGGAGCTGGCGTATCCAGGGAGCCATGTGCCTCAGCTCTGTTGGGTTGAAGACAACATCCTCTCCCTCATGAAGATGAATCCAGGAGTGAGGAACAAAGGGAGACAGTCCACCCACAGAGACAAGTTCATAGTGCAAATGGGCACCCTAGGAAGGCCTCAAAGAGCTACATAAAAGAGAATAATGGACCTGGCAGGAGACAGGGTTAGCCACTGGAAACACAGCAGGGCTTCCCAAAAGGCGTGTGGCCACTGGATTCTATGTGATGGAGCTCTGCTTCTCAGAGCCATAAACCAGGGTCCAGACCACAGGTCTCTCACCACCAGGAAGCTGTTTGAAGGTTGAAGCTTGAAAAACCCTACAAGGGTGGCGCTTATAGTTCAAAGACTACCCTCATGGTGCTGCTGTCTTTCAGGCCAGCAACCCGGGAAAATTTCTCTGGCACCCTCGCTCACCCC